TTAGTTATTTTTTAATTTTTTATGAAAAGATATGTAGAAAAGCAAAAAGAGTGATGTGAGAATTTATAATGACTTTTTAAGTTTTTGAAAAAAATCTTAAATCTCCAAACGAGGCCTATTTATTTATTTTTATAGTATATTTGTAATAGATATATTTTATCATATCATTCAATGTGGATGTCATAATTTTTTTAATTTAAAATAATTATAAATTTATATTTTTTATTTATAACTATTAGATATATAATGAAAAATTTTCATTCCATACATAAAATGGAGATAATTAAAGTCCATTTAAGGGTATTGTTAGGTTTCATAAATTCTATTAGGATTCTTATTTATATGATTTAAATTGTTCGGGGTAAATTATTTATGAACATTTTAAAATTGATTTTGCCGATCATAACTATATAATTCTATTACATTTGTTTTATAGTTACATAATTTTATTAAATTTGTTTTTAAAAACTGAATGGCTATATTAAAAACAACATTTGTCAGTTACTTTTTAAAAGTGAAATGTGATGAAATTGTATAATTATTATAATTATCAAATCAATCTTACATTTTAATGGATTATCAACATAGAAAGATTTAAAGGATAAATAATTTGAATTACCGACTGACCTAAATAGAATTTAATAAGAGAAAAGTTAATTTCTATGTTTTATGCTAGTGCCCTTTTATCATAACTAAATGTTATCTTCATCATCATTATTATCCTTCCTATTGTAAACTATTATGGAATTTGGCCCTTTTTTATGAGTATAATATCTTAAGATTAATGAAGCAAGTAATTGATTTAAAAAGAAAACAATTGATCAAGCATATTGTTTGGTGCCTCCATCTAGTGTAAAATAATTTGATTTTTATTTAGATGTTTCTCTCTAGGTCTTGTTTGTCTGCAAAGAAACTGAAATGATGATGGCAATGGAAGCATATCATGTGTTGATGTCTAGGTGTTATTGTACACACCACCAACACAATGCGCTAATTTGGTATGTAAAATAGATAAATATCATTTTATCTCTATTATCTTTATTAATAATAAAAGTTGGTACAGCCACCAGGGGTTGCCCCATGTTTGGTTGTCTGAAAAAGAGGCAGCCACCACACCGCCGTGGCCTACCCCCATATACCATGTTGGTTCATAAAATTTATGGTGAATATATAAATATATATATATATATATGTAAGCAGTGTTGAATCCAAAAGAATTAATTTTGCTTCATTTTTCTTTGTTTGGTTGATACAGTTTATGTTGATACAACTATTATTACTCGTGTTGTACACAAATGTCTTGATTTTTCATTTTTTGTTATTTTTAAAATAAACATAATCAAAGTTTGAAAACACTTCATTATTATTGTTTTATGCAAAAATAGTTTTTTTTTTTAAATTCCAAAACAATTTTACGTACTTTCTAAAAACAGGTTTGTTTAAAAAAAAAAAAAAATTGAAAGCAATTGACAAAAATAGTTCGTCAATTTTTTTTTTAAATTTTTTTAAAAAAAATAAAATATAAAACAAAAAACTAAAGCACATCAATTGGTCATCGTTTCTATATTGAAATTTAATTATCACAGTATTGTCAAAGTAAAATTTGACTTGCTAAGCCGTTACTTTGAGTTTAAGTCACATAGTTTAATTTTTTTTTGTTTTTGTTTTTATTTTATATATTTGAGAGTGTTCGAAACCTAATCCTAATTCATGCACATATATATATATATATAAGTCGCTAATCTCATTAATTCTCACTAATTGCAAGACTCAAATCTTAAAACAACATTAAGAGAAAATCACAAATAAAATTTTTAATCACTCGTCTACATAACTTTTTATGTTAAATTTATAAATCCTAATCAACCGATACGATCCAATTCATTACAAATCTCTTTATTAAGACCATTGACAAAAGTAGCTAATCATCCATGGAAACCAAACCAGGATTGCTGATATCTCTGGAATTGTCATCTAGTTTAGCATTATGCAGAGAGATGTGGACTTGATTTCTAGTATTTGATGATTAGTTCAACTTTATGCTTTTTTTGTCCTCTTGTATTTGGACTCAAGACAATTGTTTTACAGTAATTCCAAATAATGCAGCTCTAAGCGCAGCCCATGTAATGTATATATAATGCTAGTTACAAAGGCCCGTGTTACAGTATATTTAAGATTTATATTTTAATAATTTAAAAAAATAAAAATATTATTTTATAAAATTAAATAGAATAAATCATTAAATTTATAATAGAATTATATAAATTGTATTATAAATAATAACAATTAAAAAATATATAATAAGTCCTATCATTTTAACATAATTATATTCTATTCTTTTTCAGTAAGATTAAGTGTGAAGACATAAAGATAAACAAAATAAAATATATATTTTAGTATGAAAGAGATAAGATAATTCCCCATCTAAAAAAAACTGAACTAATAAAGAAGCATAAGAGAATACATATATATACAAATGACCCTATTTATTAATGAATAAATCATACTTGCATAACAAATGATCAATTTTATTAATAAATAAATCCTTAACGCTGTGTTTGGTTGAAGGATTTAGGGAGGGATTTGGAAAGGGAAAGGGAAAAGGTGTGTGAAACTATGTGAAATGTAGGCATATTTTTTTTCACATTTCACCTACCTTTTCCATTTCTCTTTCCAAATCCCTCCTCAAATCCCTCAACCAAACACAACATAAGTCAATTCATAATTTTTAATGATATGAAAAATATATTTCAGTTAACCATTTTGTTAATAAATAAAACACTCAGTCAATTAATAGTTTTTAATAATATGATATTTTTCAATGAAAATTTTTAATAATTTATTATTACGTAGGAGAGTAGTTATTTATTTTTTTTCTTCTGGGTTAAATTAAAATTTATAACAAACGATAGTTATAATTTGTATTATTATAGGACTAATTCATGTTTTAAACAAACATTATGATTATGAGTGTATTTGTAATTTTTAAAAAATAAAAAATTTATGTTTTATAATTGACCAAAATGTTTGCATATTTATGAGAAAACTTTCATTTAAATTGTTATACCATTAGTATATTATACAAAATAAAAGGGCAAAATAGGAAATTTCCAAACAACCTAAGGGCAAAATAGGCAATCCAAAACAACCTTCCCAACCAAAGCAATCAATATGTCTTACATAATTTTCAAAATGTCACCACTCAAATTGTTTCACCAACCAACTAAAGGGCAAAATAGCAATTTCAAAATAAAGTACGAGCAAAATAAGAAAAGAAATGACCAGCCATAGGAAAAAAGAGCTTCTTATAGATATAGATATACGCAAACACATGTTTTTTAAGGTTTAATTTTCAATTAAACTATAGTCTTATAATTCCAACATCTAGTGAATAATAAATTAATGATCCTCCCATTAATCGGCAGCGAATTGAATTCAAACTATATGCTAATATAATTATTTAAAATTATCAAATAAAATGTTAATTACAATTGACACCCCTTTACTTTTATCAAAATATCATTTTGATCTCTCAACTTTCTATTGTAATGAGCAGCACCTTATAATTTAAGTTAAATCATAATGGAGGAGCTGAACAACGCAAAACTAACGTCTCTTGGACAATTGCCCTGAGTTATTTTAAGTGAAATTCATTATTCTTAAAAATAATCAAGATGATAGATTATGTTCTCCCATAAAAAAATAAAAAAAAAAGATAAATAAAATTGTTCCATTCATTTTACTCATTGTGATTGTCATGATTATTATGTTAATTAATCTTGTATTACTTAAACTAAAATTAATAAAATCAATTATAATCTATTTTACTTATTGACATAATGTCCAATTCAAATCAAAATGTTATTATGTTTATATTTATAATATTTTTTTTTTTTTAAACTTTCAAAAAGTGTAATGGGTAAAATAGATTGGTTTAGAACACTTCAATCTGGGTAAGTTTAGCAACATCAAACAGGAATAAAAAAAAAAAAAAAAAAAAAAAACACTAAAAAGTTAAAAAATCAACTAATTTTAAAAAAAGAAGTCAAAGATTCGCTTCTTTTTTTTTATATACTTTTTTGCACAATTTTTTCATAAAAAGTTAAAAAATAATCGAAATATACTAATTTTTTTCATCTCATATTTTAGTAAAAAAATTACTAAAATAAACCACCCTAAGCTCGTTTGGCAACATCACATTTTAGCTTAAAAATCAAAAAGTCATTAAAAAATGCCAAAATCCAACAAATTATATAAAAAGTCAAAGATTCATTTTTTCCTCTACTTTTTGCACATCTTTTTCATAAAAAATCAAAAAATCATCCCAAACATACTAATTTTTTTTACTTCATATTTTAACTAAAAAATTAAAAAATTACTAAAATAATCACTTTCCAAACGAGGCCTAAGATTAAAAAATATAAAAAATTAATTTGGATAATTTGAGTTTAGCCTGGATTTTTTTAATTGAACTTGGGTTTGGGCTTGAATAAGCAAAATAAACTCCTCAATCTCTCTATAGTTGGACAGACTTTTACGCTGTATTTAGTTAGAGAATTTAGAAAAAAAAAAATAATACTAAGAATCATGAAAAAGATATTATGAAATCCTTCATGAAGATTTTTTTCTTTTGATTAGTATGTGATGTTTTCTTATATGTGTAATCTAACGTTAGAGAATCTTCATGATCATTTTCATGATACCTAGCATTACTCAAGAAAAAATATAGGTAAAATGTGAATAAAATATGCATATATTTCATTTCATTTCACATATTTTTTTCCTTTTTATTTTTAAATTTCTTCTCAAATCTCACAATCAAACACAATATTAAAGTTGGATTGTAGGCATAGGTACGGATATTGTGGCCCATATCTATTAGCCTGTTTTGCCCAATACAGATAGGCCGACTTAAGTTGATATGGAGTTTATCCAATTCAGCCCAAGAATTTCCTTATGAGAAGCCCAAGAACCCTTCTTCAGGGATCGGATCTCATACAATTGGGCGTTGACGCAGAGACGGAGACAGAGAGAGAGAGAGAGAGAGAGGGAGAGGGGTTGAAGAGGGGGACAAGGGTCTAGAAATCAGTACCTTTAGCATATGCTGTAGGTTCCAAATCCAATTGCCACGCTCTGTCGGTTTCTTGATTTTTGCGGCGGCGGCGGTGGTGGTGGAGGGTTCATCGTGAGGCGGTGGAGCCGCGCAGTGTGGGTGGAAGTATTTGAAATTGAGTTAATCCTCCTATGGCGTATAGAAGAAAGCAGGGAGTTCCAAGACCTATGACCTTGAAAGAAGAATTTGGGCTTCGTTCTCCTCTTCCGCCCGATGAGAGCTCGTCTTCTTCCTCCAACTCTTCTCTCGCCGCCAAAGCCATCAGAGCATCGTCTGCTTGTCGCGACTCCTCTCTTTCCTCCGCTTACGCCCAGTCCGCTCTCTCACCCCTCCGAGACCCCAACCTTGCACCCCCTTCTTCTCCTCCCTCTTTACCAAAGGTCTGCTTTCTCTCTCTCTGTCTCTCTCCCCTGTCTTTCACTCAGACCTCCTTATTGTTTTGATATCACTTTCGCTCTCTGGAACATTATTTCTTTTTAATTGATCAAAATGTAGGCTTAAGTAATGTTTGCTTATAATTGATGAAAGCTTGGTGTGATTAATTGTGTTCTTGTTTATGTGAATCTATGTGCATTGTTAATGTGTTCTATTATATGGCATTATATTCCTAAAGAAGAGAATTTTTGATGTGATCAAGGGTGGAGAGTTAGGATTTTTGTTCAGTGAGGACAAACTATCCAAAGACCCACATAATAAAAAAAATAATGATTGATGATCAAATTTATTTATTTATTTTCCTGTCAAATGCCAAATCCATCATGACATACACAAAATTTACCAAATCAAGAAAACTCAACATTTAGACATTGACAATTTATATTCACCTAATCGGTTAAAAGAACAATTCAACAACAATTAAGTTAATTACTAGTAACATGACAATCATTAAACCATGTACAAACTAAACCCTACTTTTTCTTTCTTATATATATATATATATCATCTTGTAGGTTTCTTTGGGACAGCAGATGAAACATTTGTTCAGAGGATGAAAAACTCTTACATGGACATATTTTTAATTTCTCTCCATCCATATGAATTGAATAAATTGTTAGATACTTACAATTTATGGACTATCCCTCCATAGCCTCCAAAACAGTAAGTATTTACTACAATTGAAACAATGAAGTCCTATAGCATGACCCAATTCACCCTTTTAAAATAGGAGGAAGGGTGAAGGGGATGAAGCAAAATCAATTTTACGAATAGGGCCCTGATTGTTTGGTGGTTTACAGTATACAGTCTTTTAAAACACTTTGCATGGTTTGGACTTTCTAATTTTAACTTTGCCAGTGCCCAACCTTTTTGAATAAGTAATAAATAGCTGTTTATTACTCTCATTGCATTACATTTTTTTAATGATTTCTTTCTCTTTGTGCGAAGTTTTGCTTGTGGAACTAAAAGAATTTTTTCTCAGCTAATTAGTGTGGTGGTGTATGTGATTGTAGCATTCAAACAATTATGAGTATACATCTGTGAAAAGTTTGAGTGAACCAAAACATGGATTTTGGGGAGGCTTGGCAAGAAAAGCTAAAGCCATCATTGAAGATGATAATGCGGCTCAACAATTTGAAACACCTGGAAGAACGAGATTGCAGATGTCTGATACAGCAACAAGGGGTCAGGTGGGAATCAAGTTTCAGGATTAAAGTAACAGGCACTCAATGAAGGGCATAACTTTAGATAAACTGCAAGCTAACATGTCGTTCATTTTTATCTCAAGTCAAGTTAATTCCAGTCTCCTTAGGCCTTGTTTGGGAAAGGCTAAAAATTGGCTTTTTAGGTTAAAATTTACAAAAAGACAAAATAGCTTAAAATAGCCAATAAGACAAAATGTTACATCAAACCCATAATCATTTCACTTTTTCTCTCACAAACATCACATCCAACTACAAAAAAATTCAACTATTTTCCCAAACACAAAAATGTTTACCTACTAAAATAGCAAAAAAGTAAAATAGCTTACTAAAATAGCAAACTTACCAATCAAGGCCTTAGTCCCCTAGCAATGCTCTCATTTGGATAGTGACAATCTTCCTAACTGTGGCATGTATTGGTTTTTATAATACATGTCTCAACCATCTTAATTGATTTCAGCACAGGTTGTAGTTCTAAAATAGCTCAAGTAATTTTTTATTTTGCTAAAAATAATATTTGTAATTGTAAACAGTAGTAGGTGTTTTAACATTTTGATAATTTGAGTCCTAATCTCTCTCTTAATAAATTTTAGCTATTAACCAATTTTTGAAACCTTGGCTTCAGACTATGTAGTTGTCATTTTGTGTTCAAATACCTCTAAATGTGATGATTCTTTTGTCCACATGTTTGCTGTAGTGTGATAATCTATCTCATTCACCTGAAAGCCAGAGAAAGCCGGACAATCCTGCATTACAGAAGGGCCTAGACGCAATTACATCTTCCCTTGGTTATATTGGCGGCACCATTGGTAATGCCCTTGAGGTAAGCTTCAATATGTGCTTTGGTTCAAGGATTTTGGGTTGGAAATGGGGTTGGATTTGGAGTTCAGCCTTTTAAATTGGTGTTTAGGGTGTAACAAACTAGTAGCATTTGACTTTGCTTTCAGACCTAATGTTGACTATTAGTTGTAGAAAAAAGAGGTGCAAAACACAAGTGATTTGGCATTTTTAGCAAAATCTAGTTTTTACTACAAAAGGTAGGGGAAAGGAGAAAACAAATAAATCACCATTACGAACTCCTGAACAATGCTAGTGTTGTCAGTTTAACTGCCACTGCTGCTGCCACTGGCACTGTTAACATTAATTGTTGTTGTCAACACTCTTCCTCTGGCACCTACCACCGCTGGAACCACCTCAACAACATGCTACTGGCACCACTGCCACAACTGCCTCTATCCCTGCCCAGTTGTCACCACCATCAAGGTTGCCACCGTCATACTGCTGCCGGTTCACTGTCTTACTGTCATTATCTACTCCATCCATCACACCCATCTCGACACCTGTACCCTGCTGCCAGCCCCACCATTGCCGTAGACACCATCACAGTAACACTTTTTAATATCCCATCACAATTGATATAATATATGTATTGTGTTGATTAGTTCTATTTCCAAGAAGAATTAAAATTCAAATTACCCATGTTAATGATGTGGATTTTGATCCAGCATTTTTCCAATTGTTCGAGTTTGAGGGCTGTCACAATGTCAGCCTATGTTACATGGACTCGGATACGAGTGTCGGGTGCGGGTGTATATCCAAGCGTCAGATCTTCATAAATTTAAATCTTAAGATCTTGGGATACATATCCAAAATTGGATATGGGTACGGGGACACGTCATATGTACATATATATTGCATATTATATAATATTCTCAGATGAGATGTTTTAAATTATGTAGAAATATATTAGAAATTAAATATGATTCAAAAAAAAATATAAAATTTCTATATCTAACTCATGTGGGAGCCTAAAAATATCGCTTTACTAACAAAAATGAATTTCTTCTTCTTCATGTATTGCCACAAATTAAAGGATCTGAGTGTCTAAATTGGGTACGAGCGTCGGACACATATCCCACACCCTTACCAGTGTCATATCCGGTGGACACGCGTATTGTGGGAGAAATAGAAAAGTCCGTGCAACACAGATGTCAGCTATGCAATAAAGTTGAAAGTTAGGTCTGCATCCATTCGTTCCCTAGTTGACAAAACCAACACTAATAATGGTCTTTCATAAATGGTCAAAAGCAAAGCAACTTTGAAATTCTGTGTTCTGTTAGTTTTTCTCTATCACTGATCGATAATCTCCCCATTTTATAAAGGAACCTGATTGTTTACTCAATAGTTTTACTGATTTCTTTATTTGCTCTAATGATACCCCTTTACTTTTTTCAGGAGGGTCTCAATATTGTGGAGAACCGGACTGCAGACATCATTCAAGAAACTCGCAAGCTACAAATAAGGAAAAAAGGTAGCAGCAGTTCTGAGAAGCAGAATCAGACATTGAATGTTGGCGGCACACGGCAACAAACCTTAATGCAGACTCATATGCAACCCCAGATGCAGACTGATCAGGAAACCCAACTGAAGGCATCTCGCGATGTAAGGTGGCAATTGTGTAGCATTGGTTAAATAATGATAGTATCTTGGATGTGTTGTTTCATTCTCTTTCTATTTCAATGTTAGAAGTGAAACCTCACACAATCATTAATAACCTGAATGTGTTTGATATTTATGTCACAAGCTCACACTTTTGCATCAAATTCCTTGTATTTGGTGTGCACCTTACCTAGTACCAAGCAGCACACCAGTAAAAACACGAAATGCTAAATGAGTGTTGCTCTCAGTCTTAATGATTGGCAGTATTCGCTTGTTTTTCTGCCTGCTTACCCAAACATTTTGATGTCAGGAACCATTTTGAGAAATTTATTTGCTTTACTATCATATGCTGTTTGAACAATATTTATATTTAGTTGTGTCAATGAAACGCATGATATGCCTTCTGGTTCACATCCCAGGTTGCCATGGCAATGGCTGCCAAAGCAAAGCTTCTTCTACGTGAGCTGAAGACAGTCAAAGCAGACCTAGCTTTTGCAAAGGAGCGTTGCGCTCAGCTGGAAGAAGAAAATAGAATCATTAGAGAGAGTCTTGAAAAGGGAGATAATCCGGAAGATGATGATTTGGTATTTGCATTTTCTTGTTCCCTCTCTCTCTCTCTCTCTCTCTCTCTCTCTTTCCTTACATTTACTGAGGGTTCTTAGTGCAATACATTCTCTATTTTCAAATTACTCGTGAACTTCCAGCATTCTGCATTGTTTTGAGTTAGTTCTTATTCTATTTAAAAATTGATTTAAAATGGTAATGAAATTTGATATTCAAAACCCAAAATCAAAAATAGTTTTATCTTCTGTGTAGGATTTCAATATTTTCTTTATTCATCTTCCCCGTTTCAGATAAGATTTTGCTGGGTTTTTTTTATTTTTATTTTAATAAGAATAGGAAGTCCTGATTGAAGCAAATCTACCTTTCTAGATTACTGTATGCTGATCCTCATGTTTTCATGTCAGATACGGCTTCAACTTGAGACACTTCTGGCAGAGAAAGCTCGATTGGCACAGGAGAACTCGGTCTTTGCTCGGGAGAACCGCTTTCTAAGGGAGATTGTTGAATACCATCAGCTAACCATGCAGGATGTTGTATACTTGGATGAGGGGAGTGAAGAGGTTACTGAAGTTTATCCCATCCAAGTACCTCCAGTGAGCAATATGGATTCTATGGGCACAATACAAAATTCAACCCCATCCTCCCCAACTGTGGTTCTCCGTGCAAGAAGTCCACAAGTGGCCCAGGATGTTTCTCCTCTCCATATGCTCTCGCAAGACCTTGCAAATATCCCCGGGTGTTAGCTCCTTTAGCCATATTCCAGAGTTAGAAGATTTGGAAAGACATTCAGATCATGCATGAAGGATGCCTGCTCTTTTCACACTCTTTTCAAACAAAGGTTTGAATTTGTATCAATATCATTTTGATTTTTTTAAATTGTTTGATATTTGTAGTCATTTTCACTCTTTTTGGCCAAAATATAATCGGTTTGTATTGATTGTATAATTTTTTTGTCATTTGGGTCATTGCCATGTTAAGAAAATGAATTTAACTTTTGGGAGTTATTTCTGGAAACTTATTTTGTGCTCTATTTCAATTCGAAAACATTGTGCTATTGCCAAAGAAATATCTAGGGTATAAAGTTTTGTTAAGTTTGTGACTACGTTGTTACTCTAATCCCAGTCAGTTTGTCTGGCCCTTACTAATTTTGCTTCGAAGAAATATGATCTTTTATTCTTTGTAATGTTTTAAGTGATTTGCAACGTATTGCATCACATGAATTTGGCTGTAGGCTTTATATGAATTGATGCATTGATGAGATACCAATTCTCTGCATTATATAAGTGATTTTGTATATGAGATGCATTCGTGAGATGAGATACCAATTATGTGCATATAAAGGCAGTGACAGATCCAGAATTCTATCCTTTTTTTTTTTTTTTTTGGGAATTGTCGAAAGCATATGATATAGGGGTTCTGTAGATTTTATGTTTTTCTCTTTGGTTGGAGGACATGCTAGTTATCTACCAACATATATTGAGAAACAATTGGGCTTTTGCAATTTTTCTTTTATGCCATAGTTGTTCATAAAAGAAATGGAAACAGGAAACAATAAAAATATTATGTGAAATGGAAAACACTATTTAATATAAGAATGAGTAAATAAGATATGTATGAGATGTTTATTAGGAATCATAAAGATAGTAATATAAAGCATTAGAATTCTTGTATGATTAATTAGGGGATTTATATTTGTAAGGAATAGAAAATAGGTACTAGGAAATCCTATTAATTCATTCGGTAGTAGAGTCAGACTCTTTTTACTCACCTAAAAAAAGAGTCGGACTCTTTTTAAATCAATGTTATTCACACTCTTACTTGAACAAATAATTGTGAATTATTGGGTTCTCAAAAAAAAAAAAAAAATTGTGAATTATTGATTTGTCCCTACTATTGTTTCTATACGTCTTGAACATTTCTTCAAACAACAGATGTGCAATTTCTTCAATAACAAAAACAAGAGAATATTGTTCTATCGAATTGACCGGTTTTGGTGTCATAGCTTGGCCAACAGAGGACAGATATGAGAGACCAAATAGATGGATTATTGATGGTTACATTGTTTGTTTGTTTTTGTTTTGTGATGGTCACATTGGTGCATTGCATTACAGTACTGCAGTGCAGAGGACAATTCCACAAGATGTGCATGAATGATTTTGAATAATTGGGAAGGTTGTTAATGGCTTTTATATATTTTGTGACCGACACATTGTTGTCTCCACAAGATGTGCAGTTGCCATATACTTTTCAAGCACACTCCATAGGGAATCCTATGTTGCATCATCTATTACCAATGTCTTGTAACAAACTTTGTTTATTTCTTTTTAAATATATATTCGTTGAAAGTGCTTAATTCCAAGATTGGGGTCTGATTCTGACTGTTATTTGCTTGGTATGCAAAGTAGTTGTATTAAAAAAATGGGCAACTCGTACATGTATTTCTTTAAAGTTGGTTTTGAAATTGAAAATGATAAAATGTACAAAACAGCAAGGTTTTTGACTTGCCATTAGAGTTCTGATGACATGAATTCAAGTTATGAAAATAATCTCTTCAGAAAAATGGAGTGAGGTTGATGTAAAATAATTGAATTCTATTAGTATTAAGACATATTTGATTTGGGATTCAAAAGGGAATTAAAGGAGTTGGGAAAGTACATATCACTCTACCATATGGTCAAAAATAATACTCCTCTTATCTCATGTTATATCATGTAGTACAAATATTTATATACAATATATAATCTCATTTGATATCTTGGGTATTATTAATCACATTCATAATTTCGTAGTATTATCAAATGAGAAATTATAATTTCCTCGTAGGACAAATCTAAGTGGTATTCTAACTTAAATATTATTAGATAAAATAATGGGTCTCACCACCTGTTTGTCTCTTTTGAGGAGGTAACATGACACTTGTCTAAGCATAAATGGTATGGAACAATACTCTAAGACTACCAAATAATTTTTTTTTCTTATCAAATATCATCTTAATTAAATGTTTGACAATGGGTTATGTGTCTAATTAAGGAAAATGTTTGTTTGTTGTGAGAGAATTGTTTAGGTGAGAGGGACAATGATGTGGTGCCACTTCTGTGGATTAAAATGAGGACAGAAACAGGTGGTGATTCTTGTGACAAACAAAAATAAGTTGGCATTGGGCAGCTATACATGAATCATTTGAAACAGTTTGTTGTTGGAGATGCTTCTTATGCCTACTAAATACATCAGTGGAAATTCACATGAACACATGAGAGAGAGACACCGAGAGAGATTTATTTAACACTAATTAAGTTGTGTTAGGTTTGTTTGTGCGGCTTGTCGAAACTTGCTATAAAAATTGAAATCTCTAATCATTCCATGTTTAAATACGACCAACGAATCAATATTGGTTCCAAATGTAACTAATTAAGAAATTTCCATCCACCACTGTATGTTGATTTAGGTTTTGTTTGATATCTCTTAGAAGTTGACTTGTAAATTCATTTTATTAAAGCAGAATTTTAAGTAATCTAAACGTATACTTATTTCTCATCAAGCCAACTTTAACCATTTAAAAATGTTATAAAATAATTTAAAAATTAGTTTTTCCTTAAGTTATGTTTTTCGTTGGTTTATTTTTAGTCAGTAAATTAGTGTTTTTAACTAACTCTCAAAGGAAGTCTTAATCATCAATTCTAGCCAATTTGTGTAGTTTTCATCACAAAATGTAAATTTAGGCCTCGTTTGGGAACAGGCTAATTTAATAATTTTTTGGCTATTTGGCTAAAAAAGTAGGTAAAAAAACTTATATGTTTGGGATGACTTTTTGGCTAATTACGAAAAGATGTGCAAAAAGTAGAGAGAAAAGAGAATCTTTGACTTTTTGGTATGAGTTGTTGGCTTTTTGGCTAAAAGGGTAACTTTTTGGCTTTTTTGCTAAAAAGGTAAGTCCCCAAACGGGGCCTTAATGTTATGCTTAGATATTAGATTTTTGAAGTGAAATGAAATAAATAAATTTTGTTTCTTTGTCTTCGCAAATATATGATCCAACTGTAATAAATTTATGTCAAGTTAATAAATTAAGGGCAAATTATACAAATAGTCCCTATAGCTTGGGACTTGTGTTACTTTAAACTTTTCAATTGTGATATATTTGACTCTGTATTTTGAATCTTGTTTCAAATAAGGACAATTGAAGATACCATTCAAGGGAAAAATCGTCAATTTAATAAAATATAAACTAATTTAACAAAAATAAATGTCAAAAAAATATTTTTGATTTTTTAAAAATTATTTTTATCCACCAATGATAAAATTATGTAAAATTGATAAAAATTACATGATTAATTTTTTAAAATTAATTTTACATGATCATCATCCAAACACATAATAAAAATTAATTTGGTAAAAAAATAAATAAATGTCAAAAAGATTTATCAATTTTACATAATTTTATTTTTAGTGAGTAAAAATAATTTTTAAAAATTCAAAATTATTTGCTTAACATTTATTTTTGTCAAATTAGTTTATATTTTATCAAATTGATGATTTTATCCTTGAAAAATCTAATGATATCTTCAATTGTCCTTATTTGGAACAAGATTCAAAATTAAGGGTCAAATGTGTTACAATTAAAAAGTTAGTGACCAAAATGATACAAGCTCCAAACTATAGGGACTATTAGTGTAATTCACCCATAAATTAATGGTGAGTTCTAGATACACTACAACAAAATGCACTTTTGGCGACCATTTTTAGCGACTAAAAAAAATTTCAGTCGGCAAAAGTTACGGAATTGGCGACCAAAAATAATATTAGTCGACAAAAGTCAAATATTTAGCTACTAATTTTTTTTAGTTAGGAAATATTAATTATTAGTGACTAAAAAAAATTTAGCAACTAAAAATATCACAACTGTTATGTAAAAAAAATTAGTTTATAATATATGATAAAGAAAATTTTTATATACATAAAATTCGATCATAATTAGATATAACTTTCTTACATGAGATATAAGCTACATTCATAGATTCCATTTCATATAATAAATTGTGTTTAATTCTATAATGAAATTATACAAAAATATTATATGGTAAATTTTGAATATAATTGACGTGTATAAGCCCATAAAGGCCACGAATCACTATGAACAATCCAAGTCCATCACTTGGAGCCCAATGTATAACCCAGCAGGTGAGGTCTAGGACAGTTGGAGTCTAACATGGCATAAAGAGCCAATGACATTCAGACACACGGCAGGTGAAGGACGAGCCACATCAACAGACAAAGATCTGCAAAGTTATTGCCACTGCACATCACTATTAATGCAGCCCATCACAGCATTTATTACGACAACACCTCTCCGTCGGAACAGGATCCCCTTACCCTGAACAAGGTAAGTTACAGCATAGACTTTCGGCGAGGAGGGCAGGTCGGAAGGGACAGCGAAATGATTACCAAAGGATATAAGTAAACGTTGAAGACAAGAAGAAGGTTAAGCTTTTCTATCTCTAATCTCTCCCTCTACACTCTACTTCTCTTCCTAACTTGCTCGTCGGAGGGTTCACTGGGGGACTACCCCGTTCCCCGTTGAACTTGTTTGCAGGTTATCCGGTGGGCTTGATCATTTGGACCTGGGCTTGAGGAGCTTGGACCAGTCCGATCCATTCACTGGGACAAACTGTATCATCAGTTGGCGCCGTCTATGGGAAAGTTCTTATCCGGACGCCAGTTGTGCTTATTGTCGCCGGAGACCCTATCTTAACAACCTTTTCCTTCTACCCATCCAAGTGTATGGTCACGACTAGATCCATGACTTCTCACCATAATGCTGCCAACCATCAAACCGACCATCCCAATCCAAACAATCCACCACAGTATATCATTGAGCTTACCAACAGCTTTAACCGTATGGCCGAACAAAACCAGGCCCTGATAAATGCTTTACTCCAAAGAAACCTTCCGATGCCTCCTCCACCACCTCCAGATATCCCACCCAACCAAGAAAGAGCCCCGAGCCATACTGTTCCGCAACCCTATCCACCCAACTTGGAAGGTTTGCAACCTCCCCCCCATATAAATCTACCACCTCCACCCCCACATCCTTCGG